TGTATGTATAATAAAGAAGTTGTTAGCCATACTAATACTCCTTGTCGTGTTTACACCCAACTTCTAATGCCTATAGAAAGACCTTTAATAAATCCTTTTCATTCTATGACGGGGCGGTCAGGTAGCTTAGTGGTTAAAGCGTTCGCTCGTCACGCCGAAAACCCGGGTTCGATTCCCGACATGGGTACAATGTGTGAAGCCCATTTCTGGTGTCCCCAGCCGTGATATTGCTGGAGTATTGCTAAAACCGGCGTAAAACCATACTCACTACTATTCATTCTATGACTCCACGCACTGCCCTCGCTGAGGGGTGAGTGTACCGGCACTCCGTCTAGGGCATATACGGATTATTTTATACAGCGCTCCTGCTCTCGTCTGTACGTTGGCGTCTCTGGTGTTAGTTTATGCATGCCTATTTCGTAGGTATTGATTGTCTTTGAAGCAATTAACGATAGATTGTCATTCTAAAATGTACCTTCGAAATATGTTTCAAGCTCAGATGGTTGTCTTTGATCAGGCTGAACTGCTGCAACGAGGTGAAATGAAATGTTCCGAATGACGACCCAACGCGATCGTGTTAATTGACTTTTGAAAAGAAGTAATCTCTTAAGTGATGCATCAATTTCTACGGTTTATATTCGAGCTTTAGGTCACAGGGTGGAGGAAAATGAGTTCAGATGGAAACGTAATACCGACCACTCGAGAAGTTATTTAGTGTGTGGTTAATGGTCTGGTCGTCAAACATTTTAGATGTCGAAAGCGTTATTAAGTTACACCCATTGCCCACTTGAACGCTACATCTGTCGAAGCCGCATGTAGGGCGTTGATCAACCATGTGTACCATTTGGTGTGGAAGTGGAATCGATCTTTAAATTTGGAAACCTATGTAGTATATATTATTTTATATCATTAGGGATTTTAAAATTATTGTCCTCGATAATTCTTGAAAAATATAATTAGGCTTCATAATGTTGAAAATGAATAAATTGTCAGCAACCAAAATTACATTGTAGCTATGTGTTTTTCAGAAAATAATATTTTTGCTCATAGTTTAAAAATACAAAATAAAATACTAGTATCTGGTTTTGCAGCTGCAGATAAAAAACAACAACATTTGGTCTTAATACAAAATCCCCCAAAAGTCAGTAACGGACATAAATCCAAAATATCCTCGTCACGCATTTCTATTCTTGAAAGTTCACATAGACTTCTTAAAGACGGACAACGCCGTGGCTATGTACTCAGGATAAACTTTCAACTGATGAACGTCACTGTGAGGATGCTTCTGTTTGTTACAAGTAAAGGTTGATCAGACAGATGTGTTGGATGTGAGCGAATGCATAGAGGATTTGTGATGCTACTTATTAATATAGAGGTAGAATAAGTGCCTCACCCACTGTGACCTTCAGGCAGTTTATGCTTTGACAAAAGACAACATTATTTCCCATATCCTTCTATAATCCGGCACTCGGAAGCTATGAATTACTTTACCAGGAAGGCATCATAAAATACAGTGTGTGGAATAAAGTACCGGTGATTAAAAACCCTCTGCTACTCATAGTCGAACCTAAAAGAAATCGACCGCCTCCGTGGTCTAGTGGTTGAGCGTCCGCCCAGAGAACGGAAGGTCGGGGGTTTGACCCCCGGTCGCGTCCTATCAAAAGACGGTAAAAGATGACACTTGTTGTTACCTTGTATGGCGCTCGGCATTAAGGGGCTAAAACAAGGACTGGTCGGCTCGGAGTCTGTATACTGTGTCTGAGTGGGGTAATCACGTTGAACTGCGGCATTGTATCTAAGTGGGATTGCACTATAAAAGCGGCATAAATCCGGACTAGTACAAGTAGCCACACACACACACACGTGCATGCACGTCGCTATTTAAGTGCAACAGCATTGTAGGCGACGTTAAACCCCATTTCACATCACCTCACCTAAATGAAATCAGACAGAAGTGGCATTAACGGCGAGTGACCTGTGCATATTTATCGTCTCGGAGGCCGTAACGCCTGTACGCTGATACGGCAAAAACTTGCTATTTGTAACGTATGGCAATAGATCGTCAGAGGTTGACCTGAAATAAATCTTTGCTGTCAAGTCCTCTCGAAATATTAACTAAGAAAGTACCCACTGTCTATGAACGCTATATTGCCAATGTAATTAAAGTAGGCTGTCGGCAATAAACAAAGAAGTCGTGGCACGTTAATAAAGGGATACACGTCTGCCTGACATATACATTTACGCTTATATATTTATGATATTGATTTTCTCCCCAAATTTGTAAGTTCAGTTAGGTCTTTTTATGCATACGGAACACCAACACTGACCGTGACTAAGCGAGCTGAGGACATTATTTGCTGGAGGTGGGCTAAAAAAGTGCATTTATTATTATCATACAGATTAAAATTTATTAATGCAACAAAGAGGGTTTATGTGATCCTGGCACGGCCAGGCTTGTTAGCTCATCATCAATTCAGGGCCCTTGCCTCCGCTACTCGCAGACAAGACAGCGAATGGGACTTCTCCCAGGAAGCGCTGCCTTGTCGAATCCACCGAGAACTTTTGGAGAATGTGAAGACTCCCCAGCACTGCAGCCTACTGCATTACGAAGATTGTCAGAAGGGTTGCATTCCTGGCTGCAAACCAGTGTACCAAGGTACTCTCCCAATGTCAGTCAACAGATTGTGAGGAACCAAACCTGTGTATGGGCATATTCAAAAGAATTTTGTCTTTGTCATCTTCCATGACGCCCTCTACATATTCTTGGTCGTACCATGGGTGGACCTCTGCTTTCAAAACCACAAGCATGGCGCAGACGGTTATAAAATTATTAAACTACATGTAAATGGTTTGTGGTATGTTTGATTCTATTTAAGGGCACAGGTCATTGTAACATGTCATAACAATGACTACATAAAGTTGATAAATAATCACACTGCCTTGTGAACATAATCTAGTCTACAGGAGATATAGATATGAAATTTGGATTAATAGAGGAGGCACGGTTCAAAAGATATTCTTAGTCCAATAACGATTACGAGTTATCAGAAAATGCACTTCGTCTTTAATACTGTGAGCAGTGGGATTTTACATAGACGATTTGCTAAAGGAGTTTTTGGCTTGAGAAACGACTGAGTTCAATTTCAAGAGGTACAATGTAGTGTGCTACATCTAACTTTTGCCAGACTACTACGTTGCGTCCTGTCGGTAATATTACTAGCATAATGCGAGGAACTGAAAGAGAAATTAAACAATCGATATGTCCTTAATTTATTACCATTAATTAACCCCGTCATTTCATTTTTTCTCAGCCATGTCTCATTATGTATAGTAACAAGTCTGTATGGTCAATTTAGCCGAACAATTCTGTACAAAGTTAGTTAACCTGTTTTCTCCAGTAAGACAGCTTTTCCAATAACGGGCAATTTCAATTTTTCGTTTTTTCACACTAGACCACCAGCCCATTTCATGTCCTATGCAAATTGCGTGAGTGGCGATTGCTACCGGTGGGGTAGGACATGCTTACCCTTTTCGAGAACATCCGGCGTCAACACTGATTTTCAGTGAACCATTCATATAATTTTCACTGCCATTTTGCATTTCATCTTTTTCCGCTGATAATCGAGACTGGTTATTATCTGGTTTTGAAACTATGAATGGATCACTCAATATCAATGTTGACACCAGGTGTTCGTGCAGTGGGTAAGCATGTGCTTGGGCAATTTTCACCCACCTCTGGAGCCTACAAGCCTCTGATAAACATTTCATACAGTTGACAATACAGCTTACACTGATTACACACTCACCAACAGCTTGCCGACTCCGAATGGAACACGATTCTTTTTTAACTTAATTGGTACACTTTCTATTTCTTAAAACTCTCTATTTCCTCTCATATTGAAACTCAAAATTTCCCAACTACAAAACAATGACAAAATGTAATCAGTACAGGCAGAACTAATACACATTAAGTCTACTTGTTTCTATTTTATTTCTTGAATACATGCCGTAGCCATTTATTAAAACGGATAATACATAACATATTGGAGTACATCTCTTTACATTTAGACAACGGGAACATGTTCGGATGTGCAGAGAATACACGAACGATAACGAGTTAATAAGTATTTGGTAGCATTACAATAGCCTGTCCCACGCGTCTACTTTCATGACGTCCAAGGAAGTGGAGCATCTAAGTACTCTTAGCAATTACTGACAATACTCAACTCCAGTGAGACCAAAGACATTGCCGTCCCGGTTCCTGTGGACTCGATATTTATGTTCCCAAGTCCCTCAACATTTATTAAGATAAAACCCTTGATTTTCTAGCCTCTCATCCGTTCAATGCGAAGGATGGCTGACTCTCCCCGGAGATATGCCGGAATCATCACAACATAGATTCACTGGCAATTGCGGGGAAGTAAGGAGCAATCTCTGTAGTAGTCTTTTGAATTTAAACGTTAACTGTGCGCCAATCAGCCAAGCATGGCCTACAAATTGATCTTTGCTGACCAACATCTGTGTGATTGACGTGTTGTTAATTACAAAGAAGCTTCTGCTATTGATCAACTAACAACTGACGTTTAGCTGTTCTCCACTAACACGTGACCGCTATATTTCAGTAATCACAACAGTAGATTAATCAATAGCCTTTTCATGTGTGTTGGGATGGATATGTGGCTGATTGACTTCAAGTTATCATAAAGCATTAATGTTTTTCTTCTGAGTGTAGTAACCTGTAGGCTTGGATATTGGGAGGTCACCAAGTTTATTACACTGAATATGTTGTTCCAAGACTGGATTACCAATAGTCTATCGTATTAACGACTGGGGACCAACTAACAATCTTGCATTTGTTTTAAAGTTTACCTCTTGGATAGGTTATTTTACCCGAGGCATAGATTTGCTTCAGGGGGAAATGAATAGTGTTTAACATTTCCCTATTACATCATCAGTAGACTAATCAAATTAATGTTCAAATATTCTCGTTTTCCTTTCAGATATAGAGGCTATGTGAGGATGTGTCATTTGAAGCACTGAGGGCGGTCTGTCAAGTTTGGGATGTCCCTCGACCACAATTCCACCATGACTGTCGATGGACAGCAGTCCATTTACGTGGTCAGTTCCCATGAAAACAACACGGATCCACTGTTTGTTATCTCCACTCTCACCTCCCTCCTGAATGGCAGTGACGTAGAGGGGGCAACAGCATCGACGGTATCTGACTCTCTTAAAATCACTAGGTTCGTCGTCCAGAAGGTGTTAGTACCACTGATAGTTACCGTTGGTCTTTTGGGCAATATTCTCAATATTGCAGTGTTGTCACATCCTTCTATGAGGAATTCGACAAACATATACCTCATGGCGTTGGGATTTGCCGATACCATTTACCTCATCTTCATGTTTACGTTGTCCTTCATCCATTGCTCGGATCAGAACCAGCCAAGATGGTCCCTACAGTTTATTCCATACGGACGGGTGATAACAGATATTGCTGGTAACTTCGCAGTGTGGATTACCGTGATATTTACAATTGAGAGATACGTGGCTGTGTGTTTGCCTATGAAAGGAAAGGTATGGTGTACTGTAGGAAGAGCCAGATTGTACTCATTCCTGGCAATGCTGTTTTGTGCTGTGAACACCCTTCCGGAAATGTTTGAACTGGAAATAGTCCCCAAGGATTCAGGTGGTTGGAAGTGTCGCTACACGGCTATGACAAAAGAGAAGAGCTACCAAATTGGCTTCAACTGGTGGTATGTCACCATCTTTACGCTTGTGCCTTTTGTGTTTCTCATCATCTTCAACACCCTCCTCATCAGATCTTTGTTGAGAGCAAAGAAGAAGCGACAGTTGATGGTCCAGAGTAGTGTGAATAAAATGAATGTCAAGAGCACTCGAGAAGAAAATAAGGTCACGCTGATGTTGGTGACAATTGTCATAATTTTCCTATTGTGCCAGCTTCCCTGGACAGTACTGCTGTTGTATCGGTCATACCTGGATGATCATGGAATCAAGGTGCCTGTTAATGATGTCAAGATAGCGGGCAACATCTGCAACTTCCTTGTTCAGATTAATGCCTCTATCAATTTCTACCTCTATTCCTTCTTCAGCAGGAAGTTCAGAAAAACATTCAAAGCCATCTTTTGTTTTAAGGTATTTCATACAGCACCTGCTTCAGTTTAAGCTTCATCCTGAAAAAATATATAGATAATATTTCTCTTGAAGAAAACTGCTTTCTTCGTAATGTGCTGATGAATGTGTGGATCTTTTGAACATACTGTAGGTTAACACATTCTTTCCCGGGATTATTCGTTTTACTGTGTAACATAGTAATTATATGAAATGTGATCAACTGTTGTGTATGTGATAACATGTGCTTTACCACATAATGTGATATATCGTAGGCGATTGTGATCGACTACAGTCATAGTAACCTTTTTTGAAGCTGGAGAGTGTCTTCACGAAATATGTGAATGCTGCAGTAATATAATTGGATTCCATGATGATGATATCAGTGTAACACATGCCTTTGTCAAGCTAGTTGTATTAGCTAGATGTCTCATGTTTGTATCTTGTACTATGACATGTTAGGTTAGCTATCTTGTTTCTGCTATTTACAGAGAGTTTACTTTACCGAGATGACTATAAATCCACCCTCCGGGTCATTGGTCGAGACAGCATGGCCCGGAATGTGGATATATCACTTGGTAAGGAATACATGTCCGGCCCTCACGACAGCATACACACGATTAAGTGTCTTGTGCCATTTTCTCTGTATAAAGAAAGTGCAATAGAAAAGTGAATAAAAGATATTTATTCAATAAACCTATATTCACTGTATTTTGAAGTTCGTATTTTTTTGTCCACTTACGTCGCTATGAGTGTACTAATCTTGAACGCGACTTGAGCCCAATTCGCCCCAACACTAGAACGTCCCTCGTGACACAAAGTCGTGCAGCATATTGTACACAAAATCTAAAATAACGTATAATGAACTGATATTAAATCCTGCAAACTGAGGAATGTTGCATCAGTCAGTGTTGTACCTGGTTGTTGGGTGTTGAGTCGCGAAGCTTCTAGATCTATATAGCGTTTGTCAACATCAGGCACCAAGGGAGGTCACTCTAACAACCACTTGGAGTGCAGGTTGATGATACATTTCATGAGAGCTTGACTCTTTTTGCCGCTTAATATTATCAGAAATAAAGTTACAATGGTCGAGATTTCGATTGTTTACATCAGCTTGGTATAGCTGGAATATTGATAACTGCGGCAATAAACACTCACAATCTCCCAGAGGCAAGGGGGCTTGCCGAACAAGGCTGAAATGTCCTGTCCAGTGGTTATGACTAGTTATGTCCCTTCTTGGTTCCTCCTATTGACCAATAAGATTCCACCTCTCATATAACTTGCGACTGTGGCAGAGTACTTGAGCACATTGATAAAAATCATAAAAACATATCTGGAAAATATCGGCCGACGCCAAGTTAGAGGTACACATGTTTTGCATATCCTGCAGTCGAACAAATTCTGCACGGCAGTCGCAATGTTATATCGTTAACAGATATTGTATATCTGACTGCTTCTCCCCATCCTACACTTGTGTACCTAGTTTTAGCTCACCTTGCCCAAAGGCCTGGAAACAACCATTTGATATTATGTCCCTGTAAATTCTTGAAAAAAATAAAAATATGTTTCAGACCTTTGAAAACCCCCAAGAAACTGCCTGCAATAAAAATACATTGTTGCGAGGTGTTTTTCTCATAAAAGAATCAGGTCCATAGTTTTAAATAGAAAACTATCTAGTTTTGCAGCTGAAGCTGAAAACATGTCTACTCTCGATACTAAATTCAGCACCCAAATCCAGAATATCAAATGGTCGGTCCCCTATATCATTGCAAGCTGCCCATCCCCTTTCATTTTTTCTACTTTTTCGATAACCACTTGACAGATTTTGTTATGTAAGTTTGCCTGACCATAAGGGTATACAAATTTGTTGAAGGCAAGAACATATTTTTTTATTATTTATGTTCCAATTTTGACGCATCAGTCACAAAAATGTCTGATACAAATCTCTATTTTGGCTTTAATCATTATGTTCCCTTGGTTTTTAGGTGAATAATATATTTGCCTTTGCATGTGTTTGTGACGGGTGCCACTCCCGGAGCAGGATACATTCACCTTTTCGCGAACACCTGGCATCATCACCATATGATAGTAATATATTAACATATACTTATGATATTAACATATATTTATGATATAGTCGGAATTGCACAAAGGACTATTGCGGATATTTCTTTATTAATATTAGAAGGGTTTTGTCACATTTATTTATATGAACTAAGTCGATTTGTCTGCTGGTGATCATTTTGACCCCGATACATATAACTTACTTGGTAGTATTTTCGTAAATATGTTGAACAGACAAAAGAGAAAGTGATCGTGCCAAGACAGTAAACGTGCCTTTCGGAGTGGATGAATTCATTGCGAGATGTTGTCATTGGCAGAATGAACATACTGAAAAGGAGGAAAAAGAACCGAAATAAACCCATGCTATCAAGCCAGCTGCCATCCAACGTCTGGCCTCCCTTCATGAAAAGTATGTAGTTGTTCCCCCTGACACATCCACTATATCTCCAGGGCTCCAGGGCTCCTGGGCTCGCAGTACTGTAAACCTACACTAATCCATTCCCGTTGTTCTCGTGATAAATGAGTATTGTAATTTCAATTTCTAACAGCGATATTGCTGTGATGAGCTAAAACTACTGAATCATGCCAATCATTCATATATATATAAAGCGATATTGCTGTGATGAGCTAAAACTACTGAATCATGCCAATCATTCATATATATATAAAGCGATATTGCTGTGATGAGCTAAAACTACTGAATCATGCCAATCATTCATATATATATAAAGCGATATTGCTGTGATGAGCTAAAACTACTGAATCATGCCAATCATTCATATATATATAAAGCGATATTGCTGTGATGAGCTAAAACTACTGAATCATGCCAATCATTCATATATATATAAAGCGATATTGCTGTGATGAGCTAAAACTACTGAATCATGCCAATCATTCATATATATATAAAGCGATATTGCTGTGATGAGCTAAAATTACTGAATCATGCCAATCATTCATATATATATAAAGCGATATTGCTGTGATGAGCTAAAACTACTGAATCATGCCAATCATTCATATATATATAAAGCGATATTGCTGTGATGAGCTAAAACTACTGAATCATGCCAATCATTCATATATATATAAAGCGATATTGCTGTGATGAGCTAAAACTACTGAATCATGCCAATCATTCATATATATATATATATATATATATATATATATATATATATATATATATATATATATATTCCTTAATCTTTGAACTACATTTGAAAAATATTCTCATATCACCGACACTCTGTGAGATCCATGCATGATAGAATCCACATGCAAACAGCAAACATCTTATGACAGAAACCAAGTTTTTGTATATCATTTCCATCCAAAGGATATCTGAGTGGATTAATACGTTACAGCCTCACCAGTACTTACTTACTTTCAACTGAGTGCACGCCAACATATTATCACATCCCCGAGATGGCCATATTTGGAACAGACTTCCCAACCCTTACAAATCGTCTAATGCCTGTATTGTTTCAAAAACACTGTAATATTTCACACCCCATTTTCTCGGAGCCATACGAATTATATAGGGGCAATTTTAATGTCAAACAGTTTACATGCTGTCCTCAACGATACATGTTTTTATTTCGTAAATTAATGGTAAATATGCATAACAGGTTTTCCTGCTTCTATAGCAATATTGTGATAAGCCTTTGGCCACTATAACACAAAGGAAAACATAATCCCAATAAATTAATATTAATTAGTAACAGATTGTAGTTTTCCCCCACACGTCAGATTTCCTGACAAGAGATTAACCAACCATTCCTGAATCCAAACTACATTTGTTTGATCTAAATTAACAAGACCTTTTATCAAAACAGATGAAATGCAATGGAACTGCCTTTGAAGGCAACAACAGTATAATTTTATCATGGCAAACCTTACTGAAAAATGAGAAAAAATTACTTCTATGGGCATATAAAGTCAAAAACATTTTTAAACACATTGAAAACAAAAATAAGCGACCTTTAGATTTTCATAAAAGATTCCATCAAAGTGCCTGAACAGTGAAAATCTTTTTGTAGGGTAACGCTCACGAAAAACAGTATGTGATTCAGAAATTATTTCATTTATATTAATTTATATTTTGAAGTCTTCTTTCCAGAAAAGCAGGGAACAGTATTCCTGTTACTTTAATTAAGGATATTTGAGAACTGAATTCAATTTTTTTATGGAGGTACAAGTGTAAAACCGGTTTTACGCAGAATGCACACCAGGTTTTACTTTTATATCTCCAAAACATACAGTAGCACGGACTGCTTTTTTAATATCAATAACACAAAAAACCGTTAACAGCAATGCTACTCAGTGACGTCGTTCAGCGCCATAACGCAACACAGACCCCCGCCTATTATATTATCAGCCAATCAGGGAACAGTAGTCTGTTAGTGCGTGAGGCCCATGTATTCGGCTTATGGACACATAAACGAAACCAAAATTGCTTTGTAATTCCGTCTTCTGTTATTTGAAGAAATTAAGGCATTAGTAAACGGGTTGTTTACTAAGTTCTCACAAGATGCACAAATTGCAGGAATCCCCGAAACAGCATGAAATGGAAGTAGAATAAAGAATATCAGTTATACATGGATGACTTTCAAAGGATGTATGTGTGTATACATATACTTTTCAGAATAATTATATTGATTTGGTGTCGCTGGCCATTTCGCAAACAAAATAGATACGTAGTTAAATACATACGGAGAAATGTAGACACAATAATGGCAGTGGAATGGAAGAATTTCCTGATGTGAATGGATCATTGAGAAACTGTGATGACATTATGTGTTCGCGTATTCACAAGAACAGGTAGTAGACTCATGAAAATTTCTGTGATATCTGTGTGCATTTATATCACTGTATCCTAACCTGAGGCGGGAGTGGATATTTTGACAGAAACGAGTACCATAGTCAAATTTATAACCAAATCGTTTCAGATTTAAAGTATCGGTGTTACTTTTAGTGAAACCATATACATTAATTTATTTTCTTAACTGAATGTTATCGGATTAATCATTTCACATTCGCACTGTATCAGGTAAAATGATTTTAATTATAGTAGTTAACTGGTCTAGCATTTACGGACTGTAGCAGTGAAGAAGTCCTCAAATTGTAACGAGCGCCCGCTGATCTATTAGGAGGAACAAGATTACATGGATATTCAGGAGCCAAATTGTTAACCATTTCGTAAAATGTTTAAAATTTTGAAATTGGATTACTCTTTTGGATAGGGTGTAAAGTTGTGGTGTCACGAGTAGCTCCACATATCGTTCTCAGTGCGTCTAAATTTAGCCTTTCTAATACCCATGCTTGTTCTTGAGAATACCTGATCAAAATAGTCGAATATATTTTAACTAAGGTAACTAAACAATAAATATATATTTTTTACGTATTCTTTCCCTGGAGAGACGGGGCATTTGAACGTTCCGAAGCAGATAGTCATTAGACTTACTTCATGTCCTATATTATCTGTATGATTTGACCAGTAGTCATCCTGCTGTAAAACTAATATAGTAATCATATATGCCAAACTTTATTAAAGGCCCTGCTAATGTCCCAAAACACTGCCGTTACTTCTTTTTCCGTTATCCTTTGAATTAAAATCATACACACAGGGGCACAATTAGTAC